GGTCAAATAATGTATTTTATGAAGAGGTGAAGTGCTCTTCAGTTGTTTGTTTCGGTAATAGGGACCTTAAGTATCGATTGCGAAATGCCGACGACGCCGACCGGAAGTGAGATTTTCCCGCGCACACCTTCTGGGCATGCGTCAGGTTGTCAAGACGTCGTCCCTTCTTCGACGACGAAATTCAGGGAAGTTTGCCGTTGTCGCTAAAACATAAGTATAAAAATACACTTTTTGCACGTAAATCACTCATTTTCCACCTTGTTATCCAGTACAAGTAGAAATATATTCTTTGTGGATTAGCAGAATCCTAATGTTAAGCACTTTGTCGATTTCTTGGCCTGCTAACTTGAATTTATTTTTCAGGTTCGGTTTGTTTGAAAACCTGAGTGATGGCGGAACAGCCAGTCGGAAAGACAAACCAGCTTTCCTCTGCTGTCTTCCGAACCTTCCGTGACATTAGAATGATGCTGCTGGTTCCTTGACGGTCTTTGTGTACTCGTACTCGTACTCGTACTAGGTTGTACTATATGATAAATGTTCACTTTTTTCGCACTGTTGTTTTTAGCCACTAGTAAAGGCAACTATTTTCAGTGGACTCCGGAACAGGATGTATTTGGTTATGAGGAGCCTTTAGAGAGGACAAATATGGGAGAACATTGCAGCAGCACTGAATTCTCTTCAGCAGCCGAAATTTAGAGTAACCTGGTAACTGCAAGTAAAGAGCTGTTCGAGATCGGTATTTACTTTTAACTTCAAAACAAAAACAAAAACTGCGCGACAAAGAGAAGGCCTCCACAATCGAATCACAGGTCGTAAAGATGTAAAGAACAATAAATTTGCCACCGTCGATTAAACCATCTTCATGGCTTATAAGATATAAACTAAGGAGGTCTTTGAATGCCATAGAAAGACTGTACCAAGACAAACTTCTTCGCAAAGAAAAAGTCGTCGTCTGTCTGGGAAGCTGCACCGCTTAAACTTCGTTTCCCGCCAAAAAAGGAACGAAACCCTCGGCCCAGTCTGCCTCGGTTGCGAAGCATCGTCGTAGTCCGTTTCGTTGTCGATGCTTAAGGTCCCTAATATTACTTTTTGAACGACCATTTTGTGGTAATTTAACAATTCTTAATAGATTGAAAGCATTTTGTCGACCAGTTGGGAAGGGCGCCGACCTTTTGATTCTCTCTGGGTCACTGAAGCAACAGGACTAGTTTATAATGAATGCAAGCTCTTTAATGAAAATAAACACTGCTAAAAAAAAATTTTCCCCTTTTGAACTCTAACAACTTCCAGCCCCTCAGAAACGGGTTTTTATCGCATGAAACAAGTTTCAGATGCACTTCATCGACAAATTCCGATACTGTACATGTATTTTTAACCTTCCGCTTTCGTTATGCCAGTATGAAATTATGTCAGTATACGGCACTGCACTTGACCTTCTTCACGGCGGCTTTCACTTATTCTATTTATACGTTAAAATTCAAAACGATAGAAGACTTAAATATTCATTAGATACTACACTATAAAACACTATCTATTCATCTTCATCGAAAAAATGTACTTTTGGGCACATAAAATATAATTTCATGGAATTTGTGTTACCCCCAGATGCGTGACGGCCTCAGCATTCTATGCAAAAACATCGAAAATGAACTGCGCGTTTACCTTTCTTAACGGGTTGCTTTTAAATTGCCCAGGGAGGGGAGAGGGGGCTTATTTTCCTTTTCCCCTAAAAAAAGGAGGGGGTGGGCTTATTAGAGGGAGGAGCTTATTTGAGGGGGGATTAATAGAGGGTTTACGGGAGTACTGTCCGTAATACATTTCATGTATTTTCGTGGCAAGAGGGATTAGAGTTAGGGTTAGGGGTATATACGGTCCATAAAGAGCCGTTTACGGTCTGGTAATTGCATCTCATTAGTGGACCTTTGAATATTTTCCTGAATACAGGAAAAATTTCCGTTTAGGTCACACCCGATGAACACTTTTAATAGCTAGAGGTAACCGCGAAGCGCATTGCAGACGTGCGAACGTTCATATGCTTGATCCCACTACTTCACGATCGCTCAGGTTTTTCTTTTCATGAACAATCAAAAGAAGGTGAGAATTCCCTGGGTTTTCTGATTTTGACATTTTGAGGTAATATCAGCGTTCGCTAGTTCTATAATGGCATTATACAGTATCATGCTAATGACAGAGGGGGAGATAGAGCTTCGTCTTAACAGCTTCTCTAAAACGACACAAGGAAAGAAAGTACTATTCTTTTAGCGGGGAAAATGCGAATGCATTTATCAATATTTACAGCTAATACCGCCTACATCTCTATCTACGTCTTTATTTAAGGGGATCTCATTTGCCTGATTACGAAATTCTCGATGAAGAAATGCTACTCAGTGACTTGTTCTAGTAAGTAATACTAAAAACAGATTTGAGATACCCTCTGAGAAAGCTCTCTCGCCAATTTCACCTTCCCTTCCAACAACTCTTTTGTAACTGAGGGTGTCTGTGGAGCCGGTGAAGCCATTTTCAATTAACGGTATATTTTGGCGTTTCTACTATTAGCAGACATTTGAGGAAGAAAAATCAACCGTGGTGTAGAAGTTTAGACTGAATCTATCAGGAATTTGAGTATTCAATTTTCGGAGGAAGAAAATCTTATACCAGAATAATTAAAACAATATCCCATTCTTTTTGACAATTTTTAAGGGCCATAGATATAATTGGTTATTTGTAATAACACCAAAGACCATTTTTCATAGAATCCCGAGAAAATAGATGTCAAATTTCACAAGAATTGAGAAAAAGCACAGTTAAAATTCTGAAAATTTCATTTGTGACATGTCATTTTATGAAATTTGACATTTATTTTCTCGGTCTCTCAGTAAGAAACTTTCTTTGGTGCTATTACGGATTACTAATTACATTTATGTAAAAAGGATTCATTATTGTTTAAATTATTCTGGTACAAGGTTTTTGTTCACAGAAAATTAAAATTACTTATAATTTCCTGATGGATTCCATCTTAAAGTTTCCATTGGTCTAAGTCTCAAATAGGTTTAGGTCCACAAAATGGCAGAAACGCCGTAGATTTAACGTAGGCTGTAGGTTTTTATCAGATGCCTGGTTCTTAGATTTCGTGATGTTAGTAACGACGAAGGGGTATTGGTAAGAGACAAAAACAGAGGATAAATACATCTTTTCCTTAGAGACTCCGATGGATTAGTGATGATATCTCTTCATCGATCATATAAGCACTTGACAACACCGTGTTTAACTTTACTTCTTTTACTACTCGACCTTCAAACACTCGTCACATGTACACGGGCATGAGGACGGGCCTATTTTTTCTTTCTTTTCGCCAGTGAGAATCTTTAGGTTACAGAATATAATCAGCTGTTTCAAGTATGATTTTTATAAACTCCTATCAATATTATTTCAATCAAGAAAAAAAAAACAATATTTCTTGCAGGAAGATATGAAACGTTTTCAAAATGTTTGTTCAAGATAGAGTGTTCTGTCTTGTTTGGATTGCCTTCCTTTTGACTAGCACTGGGATTCATCTTCGGACTGCAAAGGAAGGTAGGCTTACGAATTAATGAATTGCTTGAATCCAAGACTGTCTTGTGTAGTAACCATTTTTGTTTTTATGTTTAGTTTCTTGTGTGACATATAGCAAATGTATACAGTGGAATCCCGATTTTTCGAACTACCTTGACAAAACGTACCAAAATTGGTCTGAATTATCGGGAGGTTTGAAAAATATAGATTAGAGCTATTTTTGTATGACCTTGAAAAATGGTTTTGGTAAGTTTTCGTTATTTGTTTTATCAGCCAATGGATGAAAAGATGAAAACATGGCCACTTGAGTTCTTTTTCCCGCCAACGAAAAACCCTAATATGGAGAACCCATTGTTCGATTGGCCAATTGTGTTGCAGTATGACGTCAAAGCGAAGTATCGATTGATTCCTAGAAAGTTCTCGGGCATGAAGTTTTTTCACCCGGGCGTTCGCTTAACCAACCAAAAGCCACGCGGATTTGTATCCGTTCGATAAACCAATGAAATCCCTCTATTTTCGTTCGTTTGTTGTTTCTGTTTTCTTCACGCGTTTTCATTTCAAGGTCATACAATGTTCACTCATGCTAACTCATCTCACACCCGCAGATTGAAAACTTAGAAATATTGTCAGCTCATCCTAATGAGAAAAGATTACAGCCTTTATACTTCTACATGAGGAATTTCTGCAATTTGATTGGCTTAGAGCTTTTGTGGGTAGTAGTATAAACAAATAATAGCATGATTCAGTATAATTTGTACGTGATATTCAGCATTAATACCACTTGTTATATTTCAAAATTCCGTATAACAATGTTGAATATCACTCGTGGTATTTATGCCAAATATCACTACAAATCATGCAATAATACCTATACTAATTGACATATTTTTTCAGAATGTTAAATATAAAGTAAAATGCACTCTGAAAAAAATGCAAAGAAGAATATTTCATGTTATGATCATACTTTTTCCAAAATCCCAGATTTAGAGGGGGAATTATTTACATTAGCTCTCAACCTTGTCACATCAGACTCTATATGCTAGGACCTCTTGAGGTGCTGGTTACCACATTGGACTTCGCTGTTAAAGTTATGTTTTCTCCACTCTGTCTCTCTGTGTAACTCAAGTGGTGGACTAATCTAAAAATAGTCTTTCATACTTAAACCAGGTTAAATGTTGTGACATAAAACGTACCTCTCATAATCATATTCTTAATCATAATCATCATGGAAGTTTTGTGAGACTGATAATTTACTAGATTTGACTGTTTATAACAGATGAATGACGGAGTTAGTTTCTAAAGAGACTGGGGTGTTGCATCAGTCAGGGAATGAAAATGAAAAAAATTGGTTTTTATCAACTGAATTCAACCAATCCCCCTTAGATAAAACCAAATTTCTATTTATAACATTGTCTCGCTGTTTTCTAGGCTGCTTGTCTCCACTGGGAATGGAAGATGGACGAATCAAGAACAATCAGATCAGAGCAACATCCCCTCGATCTGGTCTTTCTAGAGCAATTTATGCTAGATTTAATCATACTGATGGTAATGGTGGTTGGTGTCCAGATCAGAAAGGCCCTGCAAACGAAACACTTTATTCACAGTATGTACAGGTCAAGCTGGATGAACCTGTAAGAATCAAGGGCATTTACTTACAAGGAAGTGCCAAAGGATTAGGAAAAGTGGAGCGTTTCCTTATTAATTACACCCCAAACAAAACGAACCCTTTTTCTTGGAGGTGGATAGGCAACCTTGACCAGGTACGAACTAAAGTTATAATGACAAAGATCTTCAGCTGATCACCCTGGAGCAATCACCAGCTAGTGATAAGTGCCCCAGCCTGTTAAACGTAGGGTACTTTACATTATTTTGTCAGAACTGAACAGCCAGACCATTACCATCTTCATGAGAATTTCACTATTAATCAAATCTATCCATTTAGATCAGTCAAATCCTAATTTGTATTTATAGGAAGGAAATGTTTTTTCAGCACAATCTCTTGGAGATTGACTGGTCACATCATAATGGTCCCGCAGGTATTTACCGTGTTCATGAAAGATATTACTTTGGCGCTTTTTAAGCGTCGAAACATATTTCACGAGTGAGTGCAGCAAACGAGAGAAAAGAAGTTTCATATCTCCAAGCAGACGTCATATTTAATGTTCTACTTAATCACATCTGAAGATATCATGATTTCGCGCGATAGCTCACCTGGTATTTCATGGCTGTTTATATAACAAAATGCTCTATTACCATCAACATGTAACTAATGAATCATTGAGGCCTCACTTCATGTTTCTCCAAACATTTAAGCACGCTTTTTGCTGATCTAATCTGCCATTGCTTAAAATTCAACTTTGCTCTTGTTTTGAAATATAAAGTTAAAGGTAACTGTTAAGTGAATTTACGGAGAGTAGGTGCATGCATTGGTTTTTGATGCACCATTCTAACTTTTACAGCTTCCATGTCTTTCCCTCACCCCTTCCATTTGCCTCAGTCTATACTTTTTCAATAATCATTGTTGAAAAAAGTGTAAGGTGCTTGCACACAAGCTACGATTTCACTAGAGAAATTATTTTGCATACAAAATTTGCTGAGGAGTTAAAAGACTATTTTTTAGTAATGAAATTAAAGTCAAGAAAACATCAGAATGTTCTTTCTTAAGAGCGGAGCGTCCATATACGCGCATATGCAAGCGCGTCCAACTGAAATCTGGAAAAAATATCATTTTAAAATTTCCTGAAAGCTCAATTTTTACCTTTAAATCGGGATGACTGATAAGATTTTTGTATTAACATTTACATAGACTACAATGGACCTAATGTTTACCCCAAAAATTTGCATAAGGATTGTCTTCGATTACTCCTGGGACGACTCATCCTCGGAGACCCAGGGGCAGTCAGTATGGTCGGGAGAAAAGACGGGACGAAAGTTTTCAAGTACGGGCGAAAGAGCCCCCTGGTTACCGACTCTCACCGAACTATTTCCAACAATTCAAGCGGATGCCGGCTCCTGATTAGGCTCATAAAATGCTTTGTTTTATTGTGCCCAATCGGCGAACAGTTTCTCCTAAGTTCTTTTCGTGAGTTTGTACACGACGGCTATTGTCTCGCCACACTTGCCCGGTTCGTTCACCAAGCTTGTGCGTGCAAGGGAAACTCTTATTTTCTACTTTCCTAACCAGAAACGAAGGAACTACCGATGAGTCGAAAAAACATTGTGATGCTATCAGCAGGAGCAATTGAATTTGCCCCGAGAATATTCTGTTTTTGACGGATCAAATAGATAATAGGAAGTTTAAGATGCGGCGGCGACGAGAAAGTCAAATAAGTATTAGCTTGACAAGGCAGAACAACAACTTTGCACGTGCATCACGCTTTCTTGTACATTTCTTTGCCGTCAACTGCACTACTACCCGTGAAAATACCTGATTTCACGTTTTGTGAAGGACGTAAACAAACAATGACAAAATTCATTCTCTTCGTGAACTTGGATATGGCTGATAGAAATTCAGCTCTAGAAGAGTTCACTTGCATTTGACAAAGTAAGCGAGTTGGAATAATCACGATAGAGACTGAAAAAAATATGAATTCACTTTTCCATGCGACGTTTTCGTGGCCATCAGCCGTCGTGGTATCTTTTAAAAACTCTCTATAAATGTATTTACGCAAGATGTGGCCCATGCAAGCCTGAATACCTGTTGTAAGCTGAAGCTTGTATTTTTGGAAAAGCGTCTTTAGTTTTCGGGCAGACAGTATTTTGAAATCAGGCCCCGGTTGTTCAAACGTTGGATAGCGCTATCCTCTGGATAAATCATTATCCAGCGGATAAGTATTGTGGAAACCAATTGCGCTATCCACTGGATAGAGATTTATCCGGTGGATAGCGCTATCCGACGTTTGAACAACCGGGGCCAGAAGGGGATTTTATACCGGGGCTCCCGAGCGCGCGAAGCGCGCGTCGGACAGAGCCCCATACTCATCGAATATGGTCAACCTCTTTTCGTTTGGTTGTCACGTGATTGACCGAGCGTACGTACCCGTCTACATATTGTACGGGTGGGGTAAGGGAGGCTATCAAAAGGAAGGGAGGGGTGTCTCAGGCGTGTCTTGGCAAGTCCACATCTTTTATATAGGACATTCACAATATGGCCAATTGACAGCTGTCAAAACAGGATAGCCACTGACCAGTATCCCATAACCATATCGCGGGCTCATGTGTCAACTCATCGAGGTGATGTGATTTAGTTCAATCTTATATGTTCCAACTAGTTTGGGAGCACAGGAATACTGATAATGCACCCATATTGAACATCAACGTTTCGATCAATTGACAGCTGTCAAAACAAGGTACCCGCTGACCAGTATCACTTGACCGTATCGCGAGCTCAGGTGTCGACCCATCGAAGTCAAGTATTTTTTGAAGTTATCCGCTGACAAGTTACTAGCTTTCAAGTGATCGCAGGCTCAAGTTTATTTATTTTTTAATTCATATGAAATATGTTGTGTTTATATGCCGCACAATTAAAATTTTGATTTCAAACTGACCTCGGACGTGAAAATTCAGCCAGCTGTTACCCGCAGGGAAGACAGTTGCTTTTGACTTTTCTCACCATGATCACGCGTTGGTCACGCTCAACGTTCAATTTTTATGCTCTGATTGGTCAAAATTTGACAGATGAGTTCATGCGGAAAATTTATGCATCATCTTGAATCTTGTTTACTTTGACAGCTGAAGCTGACAGAGTTTTGTGTCAACTTAAAAGCGCATGTGATTTTTTAACTGTCTTTTTCCACTGGATGTACAAAATGAAATTCAGCTGGTATCAGGAGTCTTCTTTTATTCATGGCTAGTTTGTTTATTGGGTTTTTGGTTGAGAAATACGTCGCTAGTCAAAGTTGGAGATCCGATTTCGGATGGCATCGTTTTCGTTTTCACCTTACTTGATCCGTAAGAGGGTTACAAAGACTGAAGCGATAATGACTTTACTTGATACATTCCAGGAGCTGCAGCTCGAATGGTAAGGCAGAGTAATTTTGTATTTGATGTTTGTTTTTTGTATCTAATTTAATGAAGTCGAGCGTAGCTTATGCGGGTATTTAGTTTATGCACGTTTGTAAGATTTGAGACAATGATCTGACCGAGTATCAGGTTTGATATAAGCTTACAGAACTTTAAAAAGCCTTTACACAGTTTCTCACCGCAAATAGAAAGAAAACGTTTCAAAGAATATTTAGTAATAATTCTGGCTGTAAAAGAAAGCTTTGAGCGATTTTCTTGCCTCGAGTTCGTCTTTGAAAAAAGCAAACACCAGGAAGCCGGCTTAAAACATAAACTTCATCTTTAAGCTTGAAGACTAAGGATTTTTAGACACTTTAATACTTGTCTTCCTGCTGAATGAAAATTGTTGTCTCTGTATATGTTTCACCGAATTATATTTCTTTTATTGATTGTCAGTAGTCTCTCTTGAAATTTTAATCGCTGTGCCGATTGTTTTCGGTCGTTCAGTGAACATCGCTTGCAGGAGTACTCAAAATGCCGCGCGTTAAACCATTTTCACATGAAAAATAAACATAATAAATTCTTTATTATGTTGGAGCGTAACTCTGTTAACGTTCATTCAAACTCTTGCCACAGCTCGAACTACAAAAGTGAGAACAGGATGGCCGTATAGGTGATTTTGGAAATTTTTTTAACGGTTTAGCTAAAAGCCCACGCGTACTTCCATCATCCTTAATACTGAATGAGTGCAATTTGTACTGCAAAATTGTGAACTATACTGCTTTCTGTCCAAGGTCTGTATGATAAAAAGAGTGCCTCATAGTACTGTTTCACCTCAGATGTGATGTGTAAATGGTATAAAAGGTTGGTTTACACGCACCCAGATCTGTTGCCAAGATTTTGCAAAGTAAACCTGTCGAACGCAAAAAATTCGGCCGAATTTCTTTTGCAGACCTAATTAATCTACGGTGATCAAGAGCCATTATGGCTCTTAAATGTGATCGAAGATGATTACCAGTTTTTGGGTGTACATTTAAGGCCATCAACTCGATGTAACATTTGGTTCACTCTTGGGCTGTTTGCAAATTATTTTCCTCTAAAATCACTTAGCCTTTCCCTCAAAAGTCACATGAATGTGCTCTAAAGTTAACTGAATTGTGGAATACAAGTTTATTGTTTGATTTAAATTGTAAATTTATTAATGGGAGCCTCGATTTAGCCATGGCTAAATCTATATATTATCAAACTGAAAGTTTCCTGGCTGCGTGCATTTCTTTGCTGCATGAGCCAGACAAGCCGTGAGACAATAGCCGTCGTGTACGAACACACGAAAAGAACTCAGGAGATGTGTTCCCCAATTGGGCACAATAATACACTGCATTTTTTGTGCCCAATCGGGAGCTGACATCCGCTTGAATTTTTGGAAATGGTCCCGTGAGAGTCGGTACCCAGGGGCTCTTCCGCCCTTACCTGAAAACTCTCGTCCCGTCTTTTCTCCCGACCTGACTGACTGCCTCTGGGTCTCAGAGGATGGGGACGACTGTAATACCCAGAAGAAATTGTAAACAATAGTCATGCAAAATTTGGGGGAATAAACAGGGTGCATTATGGTCTATGTCAAAATGGTGAATAATATTGATGTCTTCTGTTAGCATTTTCTTTACTGATAAGATACCCAGTCATACACAGTGCGTAAATAATCAGTGTCCGTGAAGCTTAAACGAACACTGTCCATCAATGGCAACCTTATGTTTACCTGTTATGCAAGAAATAATCGATTCAAATAATTTGAATAATTGTTATTATTGTTCATTCAAAATATTTTGCTGTTTCTTATTGGCTCCAATCCACTGGCTAATTCTTCACAACCAACCGGCGCTGACCAATTTTGGAAGATGGGAGCAATATACTATTGATGCGATGATATATGTGTTTAGAAACGAGGTTGATCGATGGTATATTTGATTAGAAACGAGGCTTCATGGGAAGAAGACCATCGATCAACCTCGTTTCCAGGCGGGGCCGGCAAGCTGTTTATTCACGAGTGAACTTGGGATGTTTGGGATGGGAGCAATATACTATTCAGTCACAATTTGTGAACAAAAAACAAAGGATTGTGCACGGTCAACATAAGCTGCAGCACCGTTGATTTCAACTTTGATGTTTGCCGCTTTTCCTAACCAGTCTCTACAACTAACTATGCTAGAACGGAAGGGAAGAAATGCAAGAAAACGCAGGACGTGTTGTGCGATGGATGTTATCGACTTTTTGAGGAGTATCTGCAAGAAAAAAAACATCTATTTATTTCCTAAAACCGGCCGTTGCTGAGAACTACGCCAAAGTTTAGAGGAGAGTCTTATTAGGAAGCAAGCTTGTTAACAACAAAAATATTTTGAATGAAACAATAAAAATAAAACAACTAGTGAATTCGGCTTTCGTATCATGTGAAGAATTATGCAGATCTCGGAGATCTTATCCACCTCGGCCTTCAGCCTTGCTGGATATCATCCTCCTTGATCTGCATTATTCCCCACATCCTACTCAGTCTCCTTTAATAACAAATATTATTGCTTATTATTGCACATGGAGAGGGAGCACAAAGCTGAAGGTTGACTTGTCACAGAAATTCATGGCTACCATCAACTATTTTGTTTTTCAGTATTTTGAGGTTAATATGGACAGTCCAGTACATAGAAAAATTCTGAGGCCTCCAATAGTTGCAGATGGAATTAGGCTGGTTCCTTTATTCAAAGTCAGGAAGCAGGTGTGCATGAGGTTTGAGCTGCTTGGCTGTACACTGGTAAATGGTGAGTTGTAATGGTACCTATTACCAGTAGCTGGGCATTAATGACAATCATGTGACCTCTACAAAAATTCAAATGCACACAACAGAGAGGAGAAGGCGCTACCTCACGTTACCCTGGTAGCAGAATTTCTGGGTGACAACAAGCCAAAAAAGTCACGGTCTCTTAAAAAGTGAATTCGTACTGTTGCAAACTTCATCGAAGTTATTAAATTTCATTAAGTTTGTCAAATGTTAGGGAAATTGTTTGGGGTTGAATCCAGAAGGACCTTATCTAAGAAAAACAAAAACGAAAATCTTTTTACCTACTCCATAAGGCTGGCGCGTGCAATTAGGAAGATTCCTGACGCAGGATGAAGACATGATATGCTGGGCACCTTGGACTTCACAGCCTCAAAGTATGCTGGGGTTCTTTCAATTTTTCTTAGAGCGCAGACTTGTTAATATAGTTTGTAATATCTAGGGATTATTAGTGTTGTAATGAAGACATCTGCAGAAGTAATTTAATTTGTTTTTTCAGCTTCGATGTTCAACATTTCGCTTTGTTGAGAGTTCCATTTTGAGTATCTTAATAGTTGAGTATTCTCGACTGCGTAACTCTTTTCTCACTGACCCCCAAAAAGGCAAAATTCTTCTTGATTGAATAAAAAATACATAGAATTTCTTTAAAAGTTTAAGTTACTTGAATTCATGTTTTCATCATACATGCTAGAAAATACCCTATAATAGGTGCAAGGAATGTCGGGAAAATGGTAATATATTCCTCCTTTGGGCATAATATAATCAAGTCGCAAAAGCTTAAGTTAGTGGACTGTAACCACCTTTAAATAACTGCCATATCCACTTTAAGCTAAAAACTAGTACCCGCAATAAGTGCCCCATCCTTACTGAATATGCAGTTTATAGTATGTTTAACTTCAATGAATGTTGCCTAGACTAAAACCGCCTAAAACGCAGTCGTTTTTTTTTTCTCTCAAAATCAGTTTAGAGCATAGCGTAAGACTCTCTCACGCGCGAAGCGGCGTCTCGTCTCAGTCTCGCTCTTCATTTTTTGCTTTTCGCTCAAGACCATTTGTTTGACTGTTTGCGCGTACTTAAATACGGAAAAACACCTTGACGGACTGTTTCGCAGTCTACACATGGTCGGATTTGACAGGCACGGTTCTCTGACAATAGTGCTTGAGGATAGCAAGAGAGCTTAGTTTGAATGCCCTTCATACTCTTTTAAGCATTTACAGTATGTGCATTGACTTTGTAGCTGTTTACGCCGAGGGTACTCCCTTATATAAGCCATATAGGTATGTGCCGTCCAAAAAGGTATGGTTTTTGTGCCGTTTCGGTCTGAAAATGGGTATACACTTTGCCCAGTTTGATCTGGAATCGGGTAGGGTTTTCGAAGGGAATCAAGGGAGTGTATGAACGTATTTATCGTTACAATTCCAAATGAGTAAAAAAAAGAAAAAAAAAAAGATACGCGAATTCGAAATGGAATTTAAGAAAACTTTTTTGTTGCTGTTCTAATCTAAGTAATGATGACGTAATTACGTAGATGCTGGTCTGAAAACGGGAATGGATTTTACAGGCAAGGTCTGAAAACGGCTGTGAAAAATGACATTTTTTGGTCTGAAATAGGGGCACGATTTGGAGAACCGGACGGCACACCCTCACCAAGAATTCCCAGGAATACCCCCCCCCCCGGGCTATTTTCTCAACATGATTTAGGTTTACAAACGTTAGAAGTTTATGAAAGTTTTTATTTATATTATATTTTCTTAACCGCCAGGGCTTATCAATTACAACATGCCACAAGGAAATTCATTAAGACAAGGAAAGCATAACTTTACAGATTTGATTTATGATGGTGAAGAAAAGAAAGACATCCTGTCAAATGGTCTCGGATTTCTCACTGATGGTAAACCGGCACCAGCAGATTATACAGTTAGCAGTGGATTGGGCTGGATTGGCTGGCATTCGAAGGACACACCTGCACCTTATGTTATATTTGAATTCTTGGAAACAAGAATTTTCCAGTCATTGACATTACACTGCAATGTCAGAGATGGAGAAAATATTAAACTGTTCTCCAAAGTTAGTGTAAGGTTTAGCGTGGGTAAGAATGATGCTTTTGATGGCTTGCTGGCTCACAGTCCTAAAAATGTTAGCAGTGGATCAAGTTGGGTAAACCGTAATGTAAAAGTGGACTTGTGTCGACATATTGGAAGAAAAATTAAATTGGATTTCACGTATACAGGAGAGTGGATATTAATAAGTGAGGTTACTTTTAAATCAGGTAAGTATTAGGTTAGACTGTTTACAGTCAGCCATCTTGGATGAAGAAATAGCACTTGAAACGTCGTGCTACTGCCCTGCTAAGCTAGTCTCCGTCGCAACCGTTTTACCTCGCTACGCCACGCTCCTCCCATAAACAAGAACATAGGAGGAGGAGCATTGTGTCACGAGCCAAAAACGGCTAAAAGGGAGACTTGTAGACTTATAGTTAGCTCCACTATACTCCCGGCGTGGTCAATCGCTAAAAACCGATATCGGAAAACCAATCGATGAATCGATAACAATCCATCGATTGATATCGATTTTACGTTATTGTAAATTGCGTTCCTCACTTTGAAAATACTATTAAAGTCTAGTAACGAAAATTTCATAGCTACTCATATGGCTTCGTTTAAGAAATGCAAATTGTATAGTACGTTTTATTGGTTTGAGCAGTCAGGGAAATACTCGCTCTAGAAGTCATACGAATATTTTTTTAATATAAGATCTGGTTCCACTATCGATTGCTGAGCCGCAATAACTGATTTCGAAATAAACTACCATTCGGAAATTATAACATTCTGCGTTATTACATTAAGAGTTTTACATTTTGTGGTAGTATTACATCTATTTTTGCGGCCTAACACTCAGATATGCTTGCCAGTTTTGTCTCTGGAGATCTTGACGTGAAAAGGTCCGAAATAGTCGTATGCGGTGATGTAAAACGGTGGGGGTATACGGAGCTAAGCAAAGAGCAGGTAGATTTGCCATTAATTGCGTCTCGGCGGTGTGCACCATTTCACGACAGAAGCCACATTTGAAATAAGTTCACTGTCTTGCTTAATTTGATTCCTTTTAGGATCCAGAACTTCCTTCGTGTCTTGCCTGTCTTAGCTGCTACACGGATTAATAAATGATTAATTAAATGATTAGGCTAATTAATAAATGAAAACATTAACTTTACTTAGTCAGCGAAACGCCGGGCACTCTCAAATTAATAAGTCGTAATTTGACTTAGTCCAATGGTATACCTCAAGAGGGTAACGAAGACATAAATGTTAACTATTTTGCCTCTTAAGGTAAATAACGTTTGGTTTTATCAGCAAAAGCTTTGTCCCAAGTAGAAAACATTTTTCTCGATACTAAGAAGTGTAAGCACGTGACCCAGCGTCATTTTGGCGGAAAGACGTGATAGCAGTGGTCATTCTACTACGAGTTTCGCGCGAATATCGTGGTGGCGAAAACAGGATATGAAAATGTTAGAACTTTTATGTAATATCATTTTGCGATCCGGAGAGCACGTAACCTCCTTCACTAAAGATGACAATGCTAACTTTCCGAAGCTTTCAGGGAAGCCTATATTTTGAGAAGACGCGAAAAAACTTTAAGTCAAATCTCGTTCTCGTAGTCGTCCTCAACTAACATTTTAGCCTGCACAAAAATGTGTTGCTTAAGGAAAAGTAACTTTTTTTCTCACAAAGGAAATAGGTGACGTTTGAACACAGGTTACCTGCATTTTAGTAGCAAACCTTTCTTTGCTCTTTTATATTTCACCATAATGTCATTGCTCAGTCATTCCCTTTAACCGTATTCCCCATACATCAAGTTGCATGGTACTTATCATTACCAGAAGCATCTTCCAATATAGACCCTATTTTTTTCCTCGGCCATTTATTCTGCAGCGGTAAGACAATATACTGTGTTCTTGTTGTTTTCAAGGGTCCCTCCAAGAACCACTTTGCTTCCTTCTGTTAAAGAAAATTTATTCCCTACTGTCATAACTTCCTTTAATAAACTTCAACATTCTTCACAGAAATACACAGGCATGCATCTCACCGAAGGGAAACGTTCTTGACCACGAGGTCAGTAAAAACTACTTTTGACATGCACCGTAGACCTAACATGACATCACATGACATCTCCCTCCTTTGAGTTCTTAACGGACCAATCAACGTCGATTGGCACAGAAACTTGATACTACACAACTCAACTGGCTTACTGCATTCAAAGTCTGAATCAGTCCATGTCTCTAGTTCTATTGACGATTCAAAGGCATAAAAAAGACAAAGTCTCTAAAACGGGCAGGTTTCCTCACAAGACGGCCACTAGCGGTCCTAACTTCTGGTTGAGACGAACTAGGCTGTGTGTTTGAAGAAGATTGTACACATGGCATCACAATCTGCTGCGGTTCTCCTGATTCAGTATTCGAGGACCCAAAGCTTACGTACATTTTTTGCTTGTGATGTTGGCTCTAAGTCCACATCGTGTTCATCAGACATCTCAAGTCCATTGGGACTGCTGACTTTGCGTAGGTGTCTGCGGTTTCTACGCACCACTCTGAAAGGTGTCTGGATCACATACGACCGGGGAGTAGGGCTTCTTCTAATGACTTTCCCAGGCGTCTTCCATCCTTTCGGCAGATCTAATTTCACATGGACTGAGTCACCTGGCTGTAGGTTGGAAAGGGGTCGCACTCCATGTCTCGTATCAAAGTCCTGACGGTATGCAGTTTTGGACTGCTCATCTTTTTTGGCAGCTGCTTCGTGGTTCGGCGGAACCGGCTTCAAGTTGGATTCCAATGTAGGCAGAAGAGCGCGGATCTCTCTTCCCATCATCAGCTGGCACGGTCTTACACCTGTGAATGTGTGAGGCGTAGCTAGGTACGACATAAGTGCAAGAAAGGGGTCATGCTGCTTCAGTATCTTCTTAGCGATGCGGACTCCACTTTCTGCTTCTCCATTTGCTTGTGGAAAATATGGGCTGGTAGTAGTATGTTTAAAGTCATACTCTTGGCTAAACTTGTGGAACTGGTCAGAGCCAAATTGAGGTCCATTATCACTCACTCCTTCATCTAGTATTCCCTATAGGGCAAAGACGTCCTATAGCTTGTTGATCACAGCATCGCTAGTTGTGATCGACGTGAAAGCTATTTCTGGAAATCTTAAATAATAGTTGATGACCACTAAGAACTGCTTCCCTTGATGATCGCACAGGTCTGCACCAATCTTCTTCCATGCTCTTTCAGTGAGAGGCTGTAGTGTAGGAGGTATTACTAGGCGGTTTTTGATAAATGATCTTGCCATCCACTACAGAGAGACTACCACGGACAGCATGATAAGGACGGAGTTAATCCGGGACATCTTAAGCATACTTTGACCAACCATTTACTGTATAGTCAAGAACATGACTCAGCTGAGGATCACTAGAGATGGCAGATTTGATGCTCTCCAACTTCGCCATTGATACTGGTCGCATCATTTTAGCTGTATCCACATAAACTTTGACATCTTCTTCTGTGTCAGAAGTCTCAGGAGGGTTTGATAGGGGATTTCTTGAAAGAGCATCAGCCGGCACAAGTTCCTTTCCTGGTACGTATTCAGCCTTTGGCTTAAATGTCAATATAAAGAAAGAAGGAAAACATATATTTTGTTATTTGCTTGCCGCTTAACCAGAGCTGTCCACCTGGAGTTGCTGCCAAACCAAACAGCTGAGGAGTTCATCAAGCATCTCAAACGGTTCATCGCGAGGAGAGGCCGCCTCAGGAAGATTTATTCGGATAACGGGCAAACTTTTGTTGCCGCAGCGAAGTGGTTAAATGGGGTGGTAGAACATGAAAAGCTTCAGAATTACCGCGCTCATCAAGAAATAAGGTGGCAATTTAATCTAAGCAGAGCCCCCTGGTGGGGGGACAGGTTGAGAGGCTTGTGGACGTCGTAAAACGGGCATTGTACAAAAGTATTGGTCGAGCTAGCCTTACTTGGAACGAGCCTGAGGAAGTCTTGCTGGATGTAGAAGTAGCACTGAATAATCGCCTTCTGTCATATGTGGAAGACGACGTTCAGCTACAAGTTTTGACTTCATGTGCCATGATTTACGGTCAACCAAGACTTGTCCTAGAAGAAGAGAGTGAAGTATCTACGCTGGTGTAAAGAGGTTTTATGGAATCGATGGAGAGGGGAATATCTGAAGTCTCTGAGGGAAAGGCACAACAGGAAGCACAAATCCAAACAGATGAATGTCGAGCTAGGAGATGTGGTCCTTACCCAGGATGCTGAACGTAACCGAGGAAAATTGAACACGGGCATAGTAGTCGAGTTTTTCCAAGGCCGAGACGGGATGGTACGTGCCGTCACGTTGGGAGCAGGAAAATCTTACTTTGAACGGGCAGTCCAGCATCTGTTTCCTTTAGAGCTTTCCTGTGATCAAGAGCAGCGAGTGAGAGAAGACCCATCCCTAAATCACAGAGCAGGGGAGTTTCTCCTCGTTAGGAGTGCTGTAGCTGTAGCAGAGGAGAAAATTCGCTGCATTGCGGAAGAAGCAGTCGAACTTTGAACTTACATTTTATTTAATCCCAATTACTTGTATCGAACAGGGGAAAGTGTGCGAATTCGTAGGTTGATACTAAGATGTTAAGAATGTTTTGTTAAGTTCGACAAAAGTTCGACAGACTCTGTCGAACCTAACGCTTTTGCCGCACCAAACTAAAACTGCTGTCCCAAATTGATTCGGAAGCCGCTCTTTTGCCGTACTTAGCTCATCAGTTAGGTTCGGTACAGAGTGGAGCGGCGTCTGAACTGGGTCTTATAGGTAGGGCCGATAGATTGACTATTAAGTGAATACTTGTTAAGAAAACGAATTAAATTAATACGCAAAATATTCGTAATTTAAGTGACCAGAAACTTAAGCTGCGAAGAAAAATGTCTTGATAATTCACAAATAACAGTTTCGAGTCAACAAAGAATTTCCTGAGAAGTTTTTTCTTACCTTCTTTTCTGTTTTCTTTTTTTTATATAGATCACTCAAACAATAAGTCATCCAAGAGAAGAACACGCTGTGAATTAAGTGCCTCCTGCTCCCAGTCACAGAAATGTCAATTCACATCGCGGACGAAAACAGTAACTCCCAAAGACTCTAACATAACTTTAAACTGCTGTATCAAGACTGGTGAAACAGTACAAGACATGACCTGGCAGGAGCTTGAAAAACACCTCAAAACTAGCAACGGTCTATTCTTGCAGCAAATCGAGTCAACGGATGGAAAGACGTCATGTGGATGTTTTCCTATAAAATACGCACGTGAGTATTTTCTCCCGATTAGCCATAGCCCCATCCTGGTACAAGGGGGGAGGGGAGCTGATGGAAACCCTCCGTAGAGTTTTGGTAATTTTGCATTATTTCAAAAAGATTTGACCTTCAGTGAAAATCCTTCAATCTTCTCCTCAAGGTAAGGTATATTTATAGATGGTAGCACTGCTGGGGGCCTGTGACATCACCAAACAAGGTCACCATCTAGAATTTTACCATCGGTAATTCTTTTGTGCATGATGTGTAAAATAAAACATAAATAAGTACTTTGCTTCATTCTATTAACAAGCTTTACTTTTATCGTCGAAAGAAGTTGAAAAATATGCATTTTGATTAAAAAATGGCTTGATCTCCTGAAACTTATGACGTCATATCTTGTAACCATAGTAACTGATCATCACTAGCCTTGTCTCAAAGTACGCGAGGGATAAACGAACAGCTACTGAAGACCTTAGGTTCTAATGTTTAATTGTCTGGGAAAAAACCCAGAAAAATCCCAGACCCATGCAAGAAGGGGGATGCCATTCACCCCCCTTCACGTCCGTGGGTTAATTTGCGGCATAAGCGTATAGACGTCGCAATTGCCAAATAACAATTTCAAAACAATAAAAAAAAAAAATAAGAAGGGCATAATGAGACAGCTTTTGGCGCATGTTCAAGCCAGTTCAAGGCACGCTCTTTTATTCAGTAGGAAAGAAAAAAGTGATGAAGGGGGAACGAGAAGGAGAAGAAGATGCCCTCTCTCAGTCCTAACCCGTTCTCTAGTTTCCTTTTCGTTCCCCCGGGTTGAGTAAAACCCTGGAACAAGCTAACTTTCGTTTGGAAAACGTTTTTTGTCGAACTGTTTGTTTAAATTTTGTGATCATATTCTCATTATTATATTTTTCACGGTCACAAAGTTGATGCTCGTTTAATGTAAGCAAAGATTAATGTGAGGGGAACTTTAATCCATGTTTTTAAGGGTAAGTTTAAGAAGGATCTGCCCTGAGGCATTTATTACTGATCCATCGTTCCCTACGTACAGAAACTATGAATTCGTCGTAAGTGATGAATGTAGCCTGATAATCTGTTTCTCTTAGGTGGCATAAAGATAGTCGAAAATACAAGTTCTCCTGTCTGGTTCTCTACTAACACGAAACTAATAGAACTGAAGTGTTCCTTTAAGGGATGGCCTCGTCCTCGTGTTGTTTGGTACAGTCCAGATGGCAAACTTATCACAGACGGATCCGAAAGTTTTTCCCTCTCTCAGAAGCACGATGGAGAGGATACCGTAACATCTGTTCTTCGTAATTCTAATATCCAAGAAAAACACAACGGGGTTTATAAATGCAAAGCAAAGAACAACATTACCGGCTGGTCGAGTGAACTATCTGAGGATATTGAGCTGATTTATAGTTGTAAGTAATAAGCGATATGTATATGATTTGATGATGGCCATTAATTAACCGGATGTATAAAACCAGCTTAATAACTGTACCGCCAGTTGAAACTCTCACATAGACTTACTTTAATGATCAAGGCACCAGAGACACACTGCAGAGACGTCTAAATGCAGTGGTAGCGCTGTAGTGAGCAGAGTTCCCTTAAGAGTAAATTAAAAATATGATTGAATGGGTCAACTTCATGATTCAAAAGCCTCTTTTAAAAAAAAAAAGCTATTCCTGGATGACGTTTTTGTGTGTCTTGACGATGATAACCGCCTTCTCCTTTAAAATTTCAATCTCTAAGCTTCTCTCGTAGGAGAAAAAATTTACTTGTGTAGCCACAGAAACCTTAGTTAACTTGAAAAACTTTGTTGCCACCTTCTCAACCTCGTTCCCAGGTTCTCCACCTTCTTTTCCTCAGAACAAACAGATGCTTTAATCTTTGTTTCTTCTTTATTTATCTTTTCTTTTCCTTTACTTTTCATATATTTCTTTTCTTTAAATTCATTTGTTAAAATTAAGATTACATCATTTAAAGGCGTCCTTTCACTTTTGACGAGGTGGCTGATGCACGAGCAGAAAAAGCCTTTCCGCTTTGGGCAACAAGAAATAGAACAGTGTGATAAATAAAAAAAATAAATAAATAACGATTAAGTGGGTCGGCACGCACATCCACACATGGGCTGTTCAGTCTCCCCTAGCTGGCTAAGGAACTACCAGGAAGAAAATGAGGAGGAGGCTTTAGAAAGAGCCATAATCTTGAGTACGGTATGGAGTATTTCGGCCAAAGGCACCTTTCTTATGCTGTTGAACGTGTGTAAAGTTCGTTTAAATTCTGACCTTTTAGCGAAATCATTGCGCCAAATATTAATGTTTGGATACTAGAAAAGGCATAGTTTCTAGGAACGGCTGGACTAACATCATGTTTACTGATACTGTGTGTAGCTGACATGTTTTTGCTTTCTGCGCCAAGGCTTTCTAATTGTGATATTTCTATCTGGGGGCGGATCCGTAAAGCGCGTGTCACTTATGCCGTGTTTAGACTTGAACGGTTTACTGAGGTACGAGAGTTTACTTACCCAGGTAAACATTTTCCGTGTGTAAACGCTAACTAATACTTCGGTAAATGCCCCAAAAGACAAAAGAAATTTGACCAAGGTAAAAGTTGCAATTACCCTGTGATCAGGCATGGTTACAGTTGGTAACTAAGGTAAAGATGACAGATATATCCGCTTGTGGCGGTGTAATATGTCACATCCCGCGGTGAGCAGATCGTGCGATTGTCACGTTTCTATCATGGCAGATAACAGAGAAGTCAGGGAACGATTGGATCGATATTCGTACGGCGAACAATCCGTCAGGTAAAAGAAGGCATTGTATTTTTCATTTTCAGTATTATTTACGGCCATGCCCACACACGTCTAGCTCGTCTGGTATTTTTTAAAGCAATTTGGAGTAAAACCATCCGTTTTCGTCTCGACCTCTTGAGGTGTTGTAACATCAACATCTTACGAAATCTTCACGTTTCTGTTTGCGGCTCTTGAATTAAGAATTAAAAGCAATGGCCACGAAAGCCACCACTTTACTTCTTGAAGCGAGCATGGTTTTAGAATTTCCCGCCAGTTCGATTTCATGACGTAGATAATGCAGATAGCGGGAGTGTTGACAGATCAACTTGAGTTATTTGAGCTAGTGTAAACACTGGACGAATGTACCAAGGTTGAGTAACTTGACCTTAGTAAATTTTTA